ACTTCTTAGGTAGTGTGATATTAGGCTCCCGAGAACCTGATAAGATGCCAAAGGTTTGCAAGCCTCACCAAGATGTCAGTCAGGTCCCCTGAAAATAAAGACTTAAGCCTTATATAGAAAAAAATATATTTTAAACTGCAAATCAAATGTATATGCCACTCTGCTCCTCAGTAAAGTACTGTTACCAAGATGAGGCTTTAATATTCACTCTGCCTATTGAAAGGCCCCTATTTCTCCATCACAGCCAGTACTTTGTAGGCTTACTGACAGCCCAGCAGCCTCCCGTTGATGATGGTGGGGGACTGCAAAAGACTGTGTCGTAGTCTTTCCATCCCTTCAGACAGCCACACACCTTCTAGCTTCTGCCTAGGCTATCTGTGCTCTTTCTCCTTCCTTCTCTTTAATGGAGAATCCTCCTTGCCTTCAGCCTTCCACTCATTCATCTCTTGAAAGGCCTGGGCTGGTAGGTTTCTTCACTTCTTTCTCAAGATCCTGTCCTTCCAACCACCTTTCCAGCTGCTTCTATGCTGCCTCTCCCCTCTGCTCCTTATATACTCTCCCAGGAGGGTTCTATCCAATCAACAGCTGACAATTTGTCACACCTTGTTCTGACTGGTTCTGAAATACTGGGCATTAGGAGCCCCCTCAAAGTATCCCTCCTAACAAAAATGTTCTGAATTTAAACATTCTTCTTCTGTGAACTTTTAACCTCCCCTTAGCAATAGTCCCTTGCTTCACCAACTTAAAATACATTGTAACATTTTGAAATCCTCCTTCATACCTTCAAACCTTCATACAAGAACAGAGATAACAACCTATTCTGAAATTGCAAACAACATTTGTTCTCCTTGTTAGAGAACTCCTTTCTCCACAAATCCCACCACACCAAAACATCTCAGCACTTTCAAGTATTCACAGGATGTACAGAATTTTAAAACTGAAATCTATACGGATCTCTGTAGTTTCCAAGTAATGTTTTGCTTGTATAAACCGCCAGAGTCTGCAAGCACCAAAGAAGTTATTTAAGTGTTCCATGGTTTCCTAGCAACTAGAATCTGCTGATGTCCTCTCATCACAAGGCAGCAATTTGTATAAAATCTCTTGTGTGTCAGGGCAGTCATGTATCAAGGAAAGCAGTGCTGTGTAGCAAAGAATTTCCATCTACAAATAACATCATGAAAGTATTTTTAAGTAAATGTAAAATTGAGTTTAGAAGTCTAAAATCATTATTTTAATAAATAACGCAGCACTTTGATATTTGTGAATGCTATGAGATACTGAACAAAATGCAACATTCAGATATTTGTTAAAATACTCTAAAAGGCAGCTCCCACAGAACACTAATTTCATTATTAAATCCACATACTGAAAAATTTCTATTTAAAAGCAATAAAATTATAGGTAAGACCTTAGGGATGGTTTTGTAACATTTTTCCTTGTAGAGTGTAAGGAAAAAGACTATGAAGTAAATGATGAATGCTGTTGTGGGATAACACACCAGACTACTAAATCCTGGAATTCTTTTTTCAATCCCCAAACTACATTTTCAGTGATTTTTTGTTTGTTTTTAAACTACTTCACACTACTGAAATAACAGTAAACACAGTAATACCAGTAAACACGGTGTAACAATGCTATTTTTTCAATAAACTGAACACAAAGGATAGTAAGTGTTCTTTGTCCTTCAGAATGCTAAAACGGAGCCGATGTTAATATTCACACAAAAACTGTTGCAAGTTTCAGTGTACAATGGAAAAGGGAGATTCTCATTTCTTTAGAAACTTGGAAGTTTTTACATTCCCTTCAACTGAGATATTTCATCATTAACATTATTCTTGAATAATTATATTCATTAACATTATTCTCCCCCCTCATGGATCACTGCCTTGTCGTGGCGAGGGAGCTTGCGCGGTTCGATGAAGCTGTGGGCTATGCCGTGGAGGGCCACTTAAGACCGACGGGCCACAGCAGAGAACTCAAACCAAGCGTGATCCCCTGGAGAAGGAAATGGCAACCCACTCCAGTATTTTTGCCAAGAATACCTCATGGACAGTATCAAAAGGCTAAAAGATATGACGCCGGAAGATGAGCCCCTCAGGTCGGAAGGTGTCCAATATGCTACTGAGGAAGATCAGAGGGCAAGTACAAGTAACCCCAGAAAGAGTGAAGCGGCTGGGCCAAAGCCGAAAGGACGCTCAGTTGTGGATGTGTCTGATGGTGAATGGAAAGTCCGATGCTGCAAAGAACAATACTGCATAGGAACCTGGAATGTAAGATCTATGAATCAAGAAAGAAGGAAAGCAAAAGGCAAAGGCGAAAAGGAAAGGAAAGATTTACCCAACTGAATGCAGATTTCCAGAGAACAGCAAGGAGAGGTAAGGAGGCCTTCCTGAATGAACAATGCAAAGTAATACAGGAAAACAATAGAATGGGAAGGACTAGAGATCTCTTCAAGAAAATTGGAGAAATCAAGGGAGCGTTCCATGCAAAGATGGCCATGATAAAGGACAAAAACGGTAGGGACCTAACAGAAGCAGAAGAGATTAGGAAAAGATGGCAAGAATACACAGAAGAACTATACAAGAAAGACCACGATGTCCTTGACAACCACGACGGTATAATCACTGACCTCAAGCCAGACATCCTGCAATGTGAATTTAAATGGGCCTTAGAAAGCATTACTAACAACAAAGCTAGTGGAGGTGATGGTATTCCAGCTGAGCTATTCAAAGTCTTAAAAGATGATGCTGTTAAAGTGCTGCACTCAATTTGCCAGCAAATTTGGAAAACGCAACAGTGGCCACAGGATTGGCAAAGGTCAGTATACATTCCAATCCCAAAGAAGGGCAATGTCAAGGAATGTTCAAACTATCACACAATTGCACTCATATCACACGCTAGCAAGGTCATGCTCAAGATCCTACAAGCTAGGCTTCAAGAGTACGTGGATAGAGAACTGCCAGAAGTACAAGCTGGGTTTTGAAGAGGTAGAGGAACTAGAGATCAAATTGCCAACATTTGCTGGATTATGGAGAAAGCAAGAGAGTACCAGAAAAACATCTACTTCTGCTTCACTGACTATGCTAAAGCCTTTGGCTGTGTGGATCACAACAAACTATGGCAGGGCCTTAAAGAGATGGGCGGACCAGACCACCTCACATGTCTCTTGAGAAACCTCTATAAGGGCCAAGAAGCAACAGTTAGAACCGGATATGGAACAACTGATTGGTTTAGCATAGGAAAAGGAGTACGACAAGGATGTATATTGTCACCTTGCTTATGTAATATATATATGCAGAGTACACCATGCGAAATGCTGGCCTGGATGAATCACAAGTGGGAATTAAGATTGCTGGGGAAAAGATCAACAACCTCAGATATGCAGACGATTAGGCTGAAAGTCTGTGACTGGCCCGAAATCACCCACTCAACTTCCACAGCAAGAACCTGGATCTTGCAGACCCTGCTCTGAAGTGCTAACTGCTATGCCTAGGGTAGCCAACCTCCAAGTGGAGCCTGAAGATCACCGGGTATCACAACTCCAGACAACAGATCTCTCTCCCCCTGGAGAAAATGACTGCTTTGGAGGGTGGAGAGTGGCATTCTATTCAGCTGAGGCCTGTCCCCTCCCCAAACTCTGGCTTTCGTAGACACCACCACAAAATATCCAGGAATTTCCCATCCTGGCCACCAATGAGTTCCCCACAAAGGCCTGGAATGGGCCTCCTTCCTTTGCCTTTTTACTGGCAGAACCTAGCTTGGTTACCTAGCAATAGCCCCTGAGGGAAAAGTTAGCCGCACAGAAGCCAAACAGGAGAAGTGTCTTTGTCAGGAGAGACAGCCGTTTTGGCAGTTTATTCTGTCAGGGAAGTGGCCAGGCTGGCAATGGGCGGGGGAGAGGAGCAGACCAAGCACCCAGCCAATGGAACACAAGTACTCTTGAGTGGTGGTTGATGGGCCAATAGCTGATGGCGCGCACAGCACAGCCACTGGAAAGTGCCAACACGTAGAGCCAGTTTGGTGTAGTGGTTACGTGCACGGACTCTAATCTGGGTGAACCAGGTTTGATTCCCCCCCCTCACTTGCACCTGCTGGATGACCTTGGGCAAGCCATAGTTTTGGCACAGCTGTTCTTGAAAAATAGCAGTTTCTGTCAGAGCTCTCTCAGCCCCACCTACCTCACAGGATGTCTGTTGTGGGTAGGGGAAGGGAAAGAAGTTTGTAAGCTGCTCTGAGACTCTTTTGGGTAGTGAAGGGCAGGATATAAATCCAATCTCTTCTTCTTCTCCTTCTTTTATATATATATAGGATACTTGCTATCATCCCAAGACCCTAGCCACTGTGGAGCAAAGGGCAGCTGTGGGCACTAACTGCCATTCTGAGAATATTTTAAACACAAGACTCAAGTCCTTATATTTACACAGGTATAAACATGAAAGCACTATTCCAGCTATACAACAAGCAGTGAATGTGTTCCTGCTTTCCCATGTTCTCACCAAGGGGTGTGAAGGAACCATAACCCCTAAATTTCCAGGGGTGTGAAGGAACAATAACCCCTAAATCTCCCTACATGTACACTTAACTAGAGTCTTTTCTTCGAATTTTCCACCATCAGTTAAGGAGTAACAGCAGTGTCAGATTAACAGGACAAATTTTAAAATCATCATTAATATTTCTATCCAATGTCCCTTCCTAAAGTTAAACTTCCTATAAAGTGTATTAGAATAAAAGGAAGGTAATTGTTACTTAGAAGTATATGACAGTTCACAAAAAGTTATTGGAAAATACTAAAGCCACCTCTTACATTGTACAGCTAGGCTCAGTAGCACGTAATGAGGTTAAGGAGTTTATTCTTCTGAATATTTGAAATACTTTTCAGTTTTGTAAGCCATGAACCTATACCCTAACTGTGATCAGCTCTTGCAGGTTGGGCACAAGCTTGCCATTTATAAACTGAAAATAAAATACCATAAAAGCATATCACAAATTAGAAGACTTACTGCCAGGGCTCTTGACAGCTTCGTTCTGTAATTGTTCAGGACAATGGTAATGATATCTTGATGAGGTACATAAGCATAGCCACCATGGAAGTAAACTCTTCTTACACGAACTAAATCCACAGAATCACAAAAAGGAACCTGAATTTAAAAAGAAGAGGTTGATTTAAACTATAAAGAATGCTAAATTATACTATACCCAAGTAAACAGAAGTCCAATAAAGCAACATTAAAATCATTTTAGAGAGACCTGATGGAGGAACCAGTTTTTAACTTAAGGAAATTAACATGAAATTTTCATCATTTTATGAATTAAAGCAATTGTTTAGACTATCAGAATTCTTTAGATACCATTTAAATTTGTGGATTCTAGTATAAAGAAAATGGGTCAGATGCTATAGGATCATTAACAGATTAAGTTGACAGAATCTGTTTTTGAAGTCCCCTCTTTCTGCTGCAACCCTCTTGAGCTTTGACCTCCAAAAACCATTTTTGAAAGTTGGGGGAACCTTAAGAACAGGAGAGGGATACAGGAGAGGGGAGTGTATTAGATGGAGAAGTGAGAAGAAATCACATCCCTGTACAAATTGTAGAAAAGCTTGCTCAAGGAGAGGGGAATACTTCCGCCAGTTCTCCCTTCTAGTTGCAACCCATCCCATGCCAAACTATTGTTCCCAAGAGTCATCAAGCCCTCAAGAATGACTTTGGGTGGGGAAGTACAGTGGGAAGAGGGAAGTGGCAGAAATCCTTCCCATGAACCTGTTCTGCTGACTGTTCTATAGATCCAACCCATGTACCTAATAAACATGGGACTTAACAAGGGCATTTAGAACTCCAGCATCACAAGGAACTGAAGTACCACCTTCGGTTCACGCACAAGGAACATGGCTGAAGCAAAAACTGTTTTGTGGGGAAATCTGTTTACATATCAAGCCCTCCCCAAGTTCAAAGCTATGAGGTCTATCTTCTGCTACAGAACATTGTTGAACTTCCTCACTAATTATTAACCTAGTACTGGTAAGATTGAGGGACAGGGTGGGGAGGAGGTGAAAGACATTATTTTCCCTAAGAATAACTATTTTTCCAAACAAGCTACTTTCATATAAGCTTTTTTTTTTTTAAGACATGAATAATCTGTTTTCACCTAGTGTTTTATCTGCATATAGATTAGCAGTTTTAACTTATTATATTTTGTGCACTTTTACCCTGACTTTTCTCTAGGCGAAGTACATGGTTTGCCCCTCCTCCATTTTATGCTGACAACAACCATGTGAGGTAGGTCAGTCTGAAAGAAAAAATAACTGACTCAAGGGCATCCAGTTAAGTTTCATGGCAAGCAGGGATTTGAACCCAGGCCTCCCTGGTCCTATCCAACATGCTAACAATTGCACCACAGTGGCTCTCTCAATCACCATTTCCCTCACAATTTTACGCAAGAACTCCAGTTAAAATGGACTACAATATGAAACAGCAGCACTTAATCTCCCAAAATGAAATCTGAAGTTATGACAAACAGTACAACATTGTCCACTTACACTACAGTCACCTTTAGTGTACATTTACCTGCTCACTCACCTTATAGAATACCATTTCTTCTACTTTAGTAATATTTAAGCCAGAAGTCGAATTTACTAACTTGTCTGCAATGTTGGTCTTTTCAGTTACATCAATCTGAAATAAAAGCATTTGTATTTTTGCATTACTGAAAATGTTTTCTGTGGTAAAGCTAAGACTTTTCAGGTAACTATACAAAAATAAGCAAGACATTAACTCTGGCAGATGACAGTCAAGCTATCAAAGAAAAATTAGCAAGATAATTTTTAAAAAAAAGTTAGGACACTGAGCTGCAGACCGGAAGGTCTGTAGTTCGGCAGTTTGAGACCTTAGAGCCACGTGATGGAGTGAGCTCCTGTCTCTGGCCCCAGCTCCTGCCAACCTAGCAGTTCGAAAGCAAGAAATTACAAGTAGATAACAGCGTTCCATGCACCTCGACATTTAATCATGCCGGTAACATGACCACTGAGAAGTCTGCGGACAGCGCTGGCTCTTCGGCTTGGAAACAGAGAGTTGGATTCGACTAGCTTTTGAGCAAAGGAAACCTTTACCTTTTTACAAATGAAAGGAGTGTCCAAAATGGAAACATTATTAGAAGTGATGCTTTCTTTTCACTGACCAGCTGATCTCAGATTCTTGGGCAATCAAGCTGAACCCACCTTCCCCATGGACACTAGCTGAATGCAAGATAAACATTTTAAAAGAGATTTAGGCTTAGGGTAAGCAAGTTGGGAGTAACAGAACTGAACTGAGAAAAGAGTCCAATATCTTTGGCGAGGTTATTCCCACAGCTTTTCCCTCAAGCTTTTAGAATGAACAGCCAAAAAGATTGTTAAGGGTTGAATTGTGATAACAGTTCATGTATAGATATAAGCAGCAGTGTTTGCCACAGGAATTAACATTTTTAAGTATAACAACAAAGAAATGAGTATTTTCCATATTTCCTGTATATTTTCCACAATAGTTGACTAAGAGGGGGAAAAATTCAAATTAATTTTCAAGTAATCTAGCTGCTAAAATCATGGTTCTTTCACTGCTAATATTCCCTATACTCTAAAGAACATTATTCCATCACATTTTTCTGTTTTGTAGTAGTCTGATATGTAGGCATCTGATAAACTAATTTCAGACTAGAAAGGATAAAGCTTCACAAAATTGGCACACTACATGAAATAAACCCACTGATATTGAATTGTGCAAATAGATTAGTATTCCGCCTCCAACCAATGGATGCAAGGACTAGTTGAGAGAGGTGAAGGGACAGGCCTTTCACAGCAATAGCATAATAACCTGAGTTTTTCTCTGCTCCACAGAATACAGCAAAATGGACTGATTTTTCACATGTAGGCCAAAAACTTTCCCACAGCAACAGGATCAGACTGTCGGCATGTGCATAAGCAATGCCAACAAGATGACAGCTAGTCTAAAAGATTAAACTGATCTTAGTGACAGCTCAGAGTCATATGATGGACTGATTGCATCAGACTGCTGGATATCTCACAGTGACTCAGCATCTCCATTGTGATTGGTTCTGTGGACTATATAGCCTGAGCTGTGCTACCAGAGTGTGCCCTTGTGTGGTAACTGATTGCCTGGAGGAGCATTTTGTTGGATTGAACTTCGTATGCTCTACTGTGAAAGACTGTGTAAATATTGTATATAAATTGTAAATATCTCTGCACAAAACTGGTGTCCGCGGGACATCCTTATTCACACCACCGACACAGACATCTATGTTTTTCGTATATGATTGAATGAAGCCTGTATGCTATTCAGAAAATTTAACAGCAAGTTATTCAGGGGTGGTCTTATTTTTTTTAAACTTTTATTTTATTTTTCATAGAACAAAAGAACTTGACAGGTTACATAGATTTTCAGAGTTCTTCATTTCTCCAGCTTATTTATCCATGTATACACCCTTTTCCATCTATTGGTATGTAGCGTGTTATTTTCCCCCTGTAATTTTATGCTCAGATCGTCCATTTGTGTTAGTTCTAACAATTTTAAGCTTAGGTCTATTTTAGTGGGTACTTCCTCTAATTTCCAATACTATGCCAACAGGGGTGGTCTTAGTGATATTGGGGCCCTGGAGGGAAAAAAAACAGAAGGGAGCCCAAGAATCACTTCCACCATATCACCCTCCCCCCTGCTGGGGCCAAGGAAGGGGCTGCCTTCACCTTGTGCAAGGTGGGTAGGAGCCACCACTGCTGCCAGAAGCCAGGTGCTCGAGCCCCTAACGAGACAGGTGAACATGGCTGCAGAAGTCTGTTTTCCCCCCATCTTCAGGGGTGAGGCCATGGGCCACTGGGCTCCCCGTTGCCCAAGAATAACCATGAAGGTATTATTGGAGCTGAAAGATACCACAAGAAGGTTCTGGACATCACTACATTTATCGCCATACTACTAAAAAGAGTACATCAGGGGTCCCCAATGTGGTGCCTGTAAGCACCACAGCATCTGCCAACAACTTTCTTGGTGACCAACAAGTTTTGTTAGAAAGTGGCCAGGGCTAGGTGAGGCATTTGTCCAGCAACGCTTCTGACTGGTCACTAGAGATGTGATTCAACTAGCAGATTCGGGGGGTGGGGGGGAGCATTGCCTTGGCAACAGCTGCCACCACAGCACAAGGATGTTCACTGCGAGACTGAAGGTAAGCTGTTTGTATGCAAGAAAATATTTTTAAACAATATGTTCATTTTAAAAGGCATCCTGTTAAACAGAATTTCTGCCTGCAGGAGCCATTTCATTGTTGTGTCCACCATCCTGTCTCAGAACTCCAAAGGTGCCCACAGACTTTATTTTTTATTTTATTTATTTATACATTCAATTTATAGACCGCTCACCCCCTAAGGGCTCTGAGCGGTTTACATTTGTACAACTACTAATTACATTACCTTTACTAGGGCCACACACAATGAGGGAGAAGTGACAACCTATCAGGCACCCATGGCAGGGACTTAGTTGTTGTTTCTTTTTTGCGGAGGTTCTTCAATCCGGGCAACGACGTCTTTGGCGCAGATCTTCTCTTTTTTTTTTCCGGTCACAGCGACTCCTTTTGGACATGGGCCAACAGCGCCCGACAGCACGCTCCGCAGCCGGCCTCTGTCCCAATTGGCTCCGGCCTACCGCGTTGCCCCGCCGCCGTGCTTCGCTGGCCAATCTCCACTCAGGCCGCTCGACTCGACCACCACCGCCGCCATGTTTCGCCAACGCCGCTCAGCCGCCAACGCCATGCTCCGCCGCTCAGCTGCCGCCACCGCCATCACAAGGGAAGGAATGGTCCGTCCCCCCCCCGCTCTAAGAGCAGGTACCCATTCATCTACTTGCCCATGTGGGCTTTCGAATCGCTGGGTGAGCGGGAATATAGACCGGGAGCTCACCCCGGCCACGGTGGGACTCGAACAGCTGAAGCTGTTCAGTCAGATGGAATGCAGGCTTCATTTACTGCCTGCACCACCGCTCCCCTCAACTTTAAAAGTTTGGGAACCCCTGGATTACAGCTTTCTGGTTTTAGCATTACAATGACTATATTATGTTAAAATGACCACTGAGTCAGAATAACCACCTATGGCCATTTGGCACCATATCACAGTGGAGTAGGTATTTGGACTACCCAAGGTGAAAACTATCCACTGCTGCCTCAGAGTTTAAAAACAAATCACTAACTTTTAAAAAGCATATTGTATGCAGGTATAATGCAATATGCATAGTTCGGTTTTATTTAACATCTCCCCTTTCCCTTTTAGAATAATTATTTTGGGGAAAACAACAAATTATAAAGGGAAAAATATACATGAACAAAGCCCCAGTAAGAGATTTGTACTAGATTCTTCTCACCATTCCTAGACACTCAGGCAAACTATTCTGACTCATGAACATATTTCATTAAAAAAAAATTAAGCCTTTGAATTCTGGCCATACAAGCTGCATTACAATCTTGATCTAGTTTTGATGAGTTTCTTGTAAGTACTAAAAACTATATTGGAAGGGGCCATTAAGTTATCTGGTAATAATCAGCATCTGGCTCTAATGAAACTGTGGCGATTAACAAATTAAAACCTTTAATTAGCATTGTATGTACCCTCTCTCAAATTGCTTTTCATTACGTTTATGGAAGTGATAACTAGTTATTCTTCTATCACATTTATTACTTTGTTTTCACAAACTTGTGGAAACCAACACCAAACATACCATATGTACCAAAAACTACACACAAACAGGGAGTTCTTGAAGCAAACCGCAAAGCTGTTCTGTGGATAGGACAGGCAGAACTCTCTCAAAGAGACAAAAACAGATGATCAGAGAATCAGTTTCATGTAAGCGATATGGGTTTGCAAAGCAGATGCACTACCAACCTTGGGAGTCTTGTGCTTTTGTTCCCACAGAAAGCTTCTAAGCCATACATGAAAGACAAACTACTACTCCACAGAAAAGGAGAACAATCTTAGGACATAAAAGAAGAAGAGTTTGTTTTATACTCCGCCTTTCACTACTCAAAGGAGTCTTGGGGTGGCTTACAATCACTTTCCCTTCCTTTTCCCACAACAGACACCCTGTGATGTATGTGGGGCTGAGAGAGCTCTGAGAGAGCTGTGACTGACCCAAGGTCACCCAGCTGGCTTCATGTGAAGAAGTGGAGAATCAAACCTGGTTCTCCAGATTAGAGACTACTGCTCTTAACCACTACACCAAACTGGCTCTCAAAACATGTGTCCATCCAATAAAGACACCCAACCTTTTCCCAGTGCGCAAACAGCGAAACAGATTACTAACTCTCATGGAATATAGGACTAAGAGGCATTAATCCATATGCCAAAAAATCTAAAGATGGATCAGAGTTTCTTCACAATAACCTACAGTAGAGTATAGGGTATTCCAATCATGACAGCAGGAAAACAAGGCCACTCATCAAAAAGGTACGGATACCTACAAATATGATTTTAGCATACAAAGAAAAAGAAAAGCCCAAACAATGGCTTAGTAAGAACACTGAGGGATTCTTAGGCCCTGCTGGATTCATAGCTGAGGGATAAAGGCAAAAAGGGGGGAAATTAGCCTGCTCAAGTCCCTGAAACTTTATACAACCCTGAACAGGGAGATGGGGGAAGATTTCCAAG